AAATGACGCACAGTGTCTCCTGTAATTATCAGCAAGAGTTTTCACAGTATATCTCCTGTTTCTCTCTAGGCCACGTATTTGATGTTAGGAGACAGCCAAGCAGGTGTTTGACTCACTCGTGCCCTCCAGAATTCCTTAAATGACCTCTGGAAGCACTGGAGTGAAAACAGCCTCAGCACGTCAAAATTTTGAGATATCTCAGTTGCCGTAATTCTTTCAAAGGCTGCCTCGGCGTCTCTAAAACATAAATCTTTCCTAGTTATTGGCAATGTGACGTACCATATGCAGGTGTGCAATCAAGATGTACGACCTCCCTGTGTTGCCCTGTGACTCCCTGCCTTGTAAGAGTTAATATTTCTTCTAAAAAATAATTATCTGCTTTAAACTATTATAACTACCTGACCCCTTTCCCTGAATGTAAGTATTTCAACCATCTGCTGAGTCAGGCAATATAGCATTCTGTGCTTTCAGGAGGCTGTGATGGTTGCTTAGACAACAGTGACATAATATTTAAGCATAACGGCTCTCAAGAAGATGCTGTCCCCTTCTCCCTGGATGACTTCTCTGAAAATGCAAATCTGATACACTCTTAGAAAAACAAGAGAGGGATGACAAGGGTTTATATCACCATCTTTCTTAACCATCAACCCATTTCCCACTTGATAGGTGAAAGTATCATATATTGCTCAGGAGTCTTGTAAGATGTGCTAAAATTGCAGGCTGACTAGATATCTGCTTTTATAGAAACAGAAGACAGAGTGCCTCTTTTTATGGTCAGTGCTTATTTAAAGATTTAGACAACTTTGTGGCTGGGAAAAGTGTTGCCATTGGTCGATCAGCATCCAGAAAGGCCCATCCAAGATAAATCTCATTCCTGAGCAGAACTGAAATCAGTGCTGGCTGTTTCCTCCTGCAAACCTCATCTTACTGTAGCAGGAAAAAACTGCAATTGAAGACTTAACTGTGCAATGGAGTCCTCATAAACATATCACTTCAGAGCATAGCTAATACACCATCAGTTGATTTTTTTTATAGATATGTATGCAATGTATGCGATGAGGGTGGTTTTCCGTGTTTACACAGTTATAATTATGAATGACATGAAGGTTGTACAGCAGATTTCTTTAATCTTCTAAAGGTTTGTTAGTCATGTGTCACTGTGTACCTGGTTTTTATTTATTCAACATCTGTATTCCTTTGTCATCTTGTTGATAGTCTTTCTCTAGAAGGACTGCAGCAGTAGGTGCACAGCAGTTGATACCAAATGGTTATAAAGGCTCCTCCAGCTGGCAGAGCTTTTGTTAACGAAAAAGGAGAGGGGCCCTTTTGTCACCTGCTGCTCCAAAAAAAACCCAAACCCAAAACCACCCACAACTCATAGTTTGGGTCTGAGCACTTGGAAAGGTTGCTTAAGAATGTGTGAAAGCTTGGCAAGGTGCATTAAAATCCCAGAGCTGATGAAATTGTTGGGTGACCTCTGTTTGGGTGGCATTGGGGCAGATGACCTCTTGTGTTAGCAAACAGCCAAGTTGTGGGGAAGACAATCTCTCTGGAAGCTGACTGGGGTTGGGGTCCTCAGAAAGAAGGGGCTGAAGCTACCCGCTGTGTTTTGCTGGGTCACAGTGTTTGTACGATGAGGTGCCAGGGTGAAAACATCCCTGGAGATACGGTCTGCTCGCTAGCAGGATCAGAGTTGGCAGTGGTGCTTTCAGGAGGACCATGGTCTGACCTGTGACTGGTGTGGTGAGCAGTTGGGGAGAACACGGATGGTTGTCTCTGAATTTGGCACAAAATGAGCAAGAGCTTAAAAGATGAGTGGTGAGAGAGAGCAGGTCTACTCAGTCCCAATGTGTACAGGGTAAGGCAACCTAAGGCAGGCCCCAAAATATATATTTTTGTTTGATTTTTTTTTTTGGCTGAAAGTGAGCTGGTACATATTTTCCTGATGTAGCTGTGGTGATCACTAGCGGTACAAGGGGAGGACATGAGGTGGGTGCTGGTGTGGAGGATGGCTGGGCACTCCCAGGCCCTGGGGAGCCACCGCTGCCTGGCCTTCCTCACGAGGGACTCATCCTACAGCCATGTTTTCTGCATGCCAGGCCTGGCCTTGGCCCTACTTCCTTTGATGCAACCCCAGGTTTCCACAGCAGTGTCTTTAATGTTAGGAACAGCTCTTGCTTTTGGGGGAGTTGATGGCAGTGAAGTTGCGGTTACAGCAGGTGCAAGGTGGGCTTTCTTGTCCCAAAAGGCATAAAGCAGGCGCTGCCATTGCTTGGTAGTGGCACAAGACCCAGCCTAGCAGCCATGAGTGCCAGGCTTGTGGTCAGCTGTCCTCCTGTGGTGATCCCAGATGATTTGGGACCCAGCCTGGTGCCCCTAGGGACATGGCTGGGGACAGGGGTGATGGGGATTGGTCTCCTGGGAACACAGCTGCTGTGGGGGCTGCACCAGCAAGGGGCCATTGCCTAGCACAGCCTGCATGGACAGGGTTCAGCCCACAGCCTGTGTCATGGTGCAGTAACAGCCCAAACTTCTGTATTTTATATTCGTGCACTCTGCTTTTATGCTTAGCTGTTCTGTGGTGCCATTCTTGGTGCCCCTTTGCACCACGGTGGCTGTGTTTAAGAGTCCCAGTGCCATTTTGTGAAAGGCTGAGGCGAGTGCATGATGGTCTTTTCGCAGGATCTTTTGCCAGCGTCTTTTCCCAGCTCTTCACATCAGTGTGGGGATGCTACACACCACAGGTTTTCATGCCCATGCCACTGCCACAGAAAGCACATGCCCAGGGTAGGTTTGCCCCTGCCTCTGAAAGCTGCTTCTGCCCCTGCCCCTGCCTCTCCTGTTTCCCCTCCATGGCAGCCTGGGCAGAGGCAGCAAGTGAGCCAGCGCCGCTTCACCCTTCACCCTTGTTGCAGTAGGGTTTCTTTTTTATGCCCCTTCTTTTTTTTTTTCCTTGTGTACACATCGTGTGCGTGTGTGCGAAGGTTGTATTCTCGAAAACAAGTTTATTCATTGATGATGTAATAGTGATTGTACTTTTCTTTTGGTTAATAAATTGTCTGCTCAGCTTACTTTGTATGCCAGCCAAAATTAGTCATACCAGTTCTTGGAAAGGATATGAAGAAACTGGTAATTGAAATCATAATCATTTGATCGTGAAAGCTATTTGGAAAATAATATTTTAACCAAAAACACATCTGATCTCCAAGTCAGGTTGGTTTGGGTTTAGCTCGAGTTTGTTGTTTTTTTTATACCGCTGCTAAACAGATTTCTCTAGTGTTGAATATTAGAAATTGTGTAGTAGCTGGTGACTGTATTCAACAGCCTAACAGAGGATTTCATCCAGAAATTGCTGAGACTGTCTGCAGGCAGGCTGATGTTTATATGTATGTATTATTTTTTTTCCATCCTGGCATTTAATAATCACCATGTAATAGCTACAAAATGCATAGCAACTACAGCTTTTTTATTTCAAGTGGATGTTGTAATGAAATTGGGTGAAACCATCCATTGAAATTGTAGTACCCAATGCTTGTTTACAAAGTATTGACATTTGTCATAAACAGAGATTTAAAACATGACTGTTATTGTTTGTTGTTCTGTGGAAGCTCTTATGCTGTGCAGTGATAAAGGAAAAGATTTTATTACAAGCTTGCTTAGCATATAAGCATGCCATTCGTTTCTGACCAAATATTTGTTATTGCACTAAATGTAATGAAGGTGCCTGCTTATAAAGCGATTTTGTGTTATATAAGGGAGAATGCAATATCAGATCTGCTTTTTTTACTGGAGGTACTTCAGGTTTTGTATTGTGTGTAACTTGTCACAATAAAGCTTTTTTTTTTTTTCTATTGAGCAGTATTTTATTTCCTGAGGAATGTGTTCAGTGGAAAAAAAAAAGCCACGCAGAGAGAATCAATCGTGCTTTTCTCTTTGTCTAATAACTCAAAGAATTTCTCTCCCTTTGCAAATACTTGTGTTTATTTGAGAGTAAAATTGGCTTCTGGTTTATTTATTTCAAGAAGCTGTAACCTTATTTAGTGCTAGAAATGTTCAGTGTGCAAGGTGTGGTCTGCACCGAGCTCTCATTACAACATAAATTATTTCTGCTGTTTTAACTAAAAAATCAGGAGTATATCTTTCTGGATATGTGTGTATGTTTGTTTATTTTTGAGGCTTTCTTGAGCTCTTGCTCACTGGAGTCAGCTATAAAACATTGTGCTTATTCATCATGACTGAGAGGAGTTGATTGTTTCCTGGAAGGTTAAAATCCAGCAATTAGAGCTGTTTAATTCAAGTATATGTTCTGGAGTCTAAACTAAGTTTAAGTGCTTTTCTTAGAATGTATGTTTAAGAAGGCAAAAAAAAATACAGTTCTGATCTTGAAAAAGGTTTTAAGAAACATGAGAATGTGCAAGTTTCTTTTGGTGGGAAGCACATAACATTTATGTAGTATTTCTTTTGGGATTACATCACAGTTTTATTTAATTTTTAGGACAAAAGTTAAATTCAATATTTGTGTATAAGCCAAGGGAAAATGTACCATAAACACAGGAATTTTCTGGTGAGTCAGAGTTCCAAGAATCTGAGATTTACTTAGTCCATTTATTTCAGGACTAGCTATAACCATTAGTCATCCAGCCATGAATTTTTACATTTGCAGCTAATTACACCTAAAAAACAAACTTTCCCTCCAGGCCTTGCGTTATACAGAATGTGATTTGGCAACCAGCATTTCAGATGCCTTTTAGGATCAGTGCACTGGTCCCAGAAATTGTCTTTAGATCATGTGTATTTGCTACAAGTAAACAACTAATATTTCCACTTATGTGGCAGGAGGAATAAATTAAGTACTAGCTATTCTGTATTTCAGAAAAATTAACCTGCCAATAGCAAGATAGGCTTTTCCAATAGCCTACAGCGGGGTGGCATTATGGGTTTATCAGTCATCATGGAGCCCTGTGTGACATGTTGTATTTTCATTTGACCACTTCTTGCAGGATGAAGTTATTGCTGTTTCAGAGAAAGTTACTGTAAAGCTTGAGGACTTGGCAAAATGGGCACAGTCCGATTTCTCCAAGTGGAAGTGTGGTTTCCGGGCTGAGCCGGTCAAGCTGATGGATGTGGGGAAGAATGGGCAGAAGGAGGCTTTGATGAGATACAGACAATCCACGCTCAACAGTGGCTTGAACTTCAAAGACATCCTGAAGGAAAAGGCTGACCTTGGTGAGTATCCCATACTTTCTCCCATGGGTGGGGCCTGTGGGTGGACATCTTTCGAAGACAGATGAGCCAGATCCTGCCAAGCCGTTGCCGATTCCCAGGGTATGTCTGTGCTCTGGGTGGAGGTGTGGTGGTGAGATACCCGAGCAGTACGAGTGGTGGTGAGCTCATCACAGGCTCCTTTGAGATTAGCGTGGGGTATATCTGTGATACCTGTCTGCTCTATAGACCTGTCCCTGAACACTAAGGCTCAAACCCTGAAGATCAGCACGCAAATAATTGTCAAGGGCTCTCCCTGGGGCTCTGTAGGTGGAGTGATCAGGTCAGAGCTGTATATTGTGGGGAGAGGAGCCTGGAGACATCTTCCTGAGGCCTCCTCTGACAGGCAGGCCTTTCACTTCTCATGTCCCACCTTCTGGAAATGTAGCATTGTAAACTGCTGCTGGTGCTTCTCCTGCCTCCATATGGTTGGATTTGTATCTTGTTTAGTAGGGAGATGTTCCTTCCGTAGCTTTCTATAGCATGTCCATGTGAGCTTTATGTTACTATACAGCATAGGCCTCTGCAGGCACCTCACTGTTCTCTTCGGATAGACCTGTGCTTTCTGCCCCTCTGTCCATTTTTAGGGAGGAAAATGGTAGCACTGCTACTTTGGATGTTTGCAGACAGGCTTGCAGCTCGGGGGCTATTTTGGTGTGCAGACACTCACATCTCTAAAATCTGGGGCCCAAGGTCTGAGGGAGGTGGGTCTCCTGTTGGTAAATGTGCCTGTTTGTGGTATTAGGACCTTAGATGTGTAATAGCTGTCAGAGATTGCGCTTTGAAGTGCATCCCAGGGGTGTTTCTCTGTTGTACCAAGCTTTTAACAAATGTTCCAAGTTTGAAGAGCATCAAGTTTAGGCCTTGATGAGTGGAAAGGTAAGAAATTAAAAGCTAAGGCTGATGCATGTGAGGGATGCTTTTGTACCTACGTGAACAGGAGATGGAGGGCCAAGTTCAGTTTTATAATGGCATGACTGTGTGGGCATCGAAGCCAACTTACACTAAGCTAAAGATATGTCTTGGAGGATTTATCTTCTGCATCTCATTTTTCTGATCTTATCGGATGATGAAGTGATTCTGTCAATCTCACATTTCACCATTAGATATGTAGGTTGGAAGTTTAAAGTACGATTGTAAGTTGATCTGATTTTTCATTACAACTCCAAGGGAAAAAACTAACAACACAACAAAAACATGCAGTTCTTCCTCTTTTCCTTTGCTTTTCTGTGTGTTTTTTTTCTGGATCATAATTACATGCAGTAATTTTCTCTGCTATTGCCCTGGCATCTTCTTTACGTGTTGCATTTATTTGCATTTGTTTGTTGTGTCAGAAGAATCTTCATGTTTTTCAGACAGAACTTTTGTGTGTTAGTGTTTTCTTGGTTTTGTTTGTAACAAACAAAAATCCCTCATGGTAAGTTATGAAATTGCTGTTATGTACTGTAGGAGCCAAAGAAAATGGCCTTTAAGCCTAAAGCTTATAGTTACATGTTAAGCCTTTGAAAGTAGGGGTTATACTGAAAACATGTATGGAATGCAAACTATATGGTATAATTTTGATAACCCACATTCTGATGTTACTCATTTTCAGTTGGTGACTCTGGCTTTCCTGTTGTGTCTTTTTTTTCATTGTTTGGGTTTTTTTTTTCAGTAGAAAAGGGTATTTTGACTGATGTTTGATTATGATTGCTTTTTTCTCCATCATGACTGGTGGGCAGGAGTGAAACCAAAGGTTCAAGAAGACCTCTAGCTGATTAGGCACATTGATACACTGATCTAGCCTATTAGAGGCTATCAAATTTCTTGAATCTAGTACTGAGAAGATTTTTTTACTATTTGAGAGACACAAGAATTTAAGCATATTTTGCTTCCCAGATCTGAGAAAAACTCAGAATGGTGATCTTCATTGCTTGTGAAGCAGCCCTGCTTGGTCTTGTCCTGTAGGCAACCCATGAGCTTTAGTGTTTGACTTAACTATGGGATGGAGGTTTATTACCCACGAGGTGAAGAAGATTCATTTCTCTCATTCAGAGTCAAGGTTGGCATTGTGCTCTGGGAACTGTCATCTCCCTACCTATAGGGAAGGGCAGTAGCATAATGTGAAAGTGTCCAAGGCATAGAGATGTGAGCTGCTGGAGTTGTATCTTCTCTGCTGTCAAAATGGTGGGTTTACTGCCTGTTACGATGTGTGCCCACAGACCTTTTTCAACACTCTGCATCTTGCCAAGAGAGCAACACTCAGCTGCAGTGATCAAAGATTTATTAGCAATAACTTCTGCAGTAGGTCTCCAGCACAATGGGATGGGGTATGTTTTCTCTTAAAATGGGGTTGTAAACTGTGAGAGAGTGCAGTGCACTGTCATGCAAAGGTCCCTCTGGTGGAGCATCAGCACAGCTATATTAGCAAGGCTGGTCAGCCCAAATGGAGAGGTGATCTGCACATACACCATTTCTCACCACCGCAGGACGGTTCCCCTCCCAGTCAGTTAGTTACTCAGTGATGCACGAATGAGTATATTTTATGAAGGGCTTCCTCACTGAGCAGAGTGGGGTGGCTGTGACAAGGCAGACCGCTCTGTACAGAGCTTGGCTTGGAAGGGAAAAATTCCCTTCGTGTGCTAGTCTGGCAGGCAATGCAGGAATCTGTAATGATGGCCACATTTAACCCTGAATGTAGATGAGGAAGTTTCTGAACCAGGTGTTGAAAAGGCCTAGATAAACAACAAGGCCCTATTTTCCTATGAAACAGCATGTTTCCAGTACAGAGAAATCCTGTGAAGGTAAGTAGATTTTGACATTCTTCCTACGAGATGTTTTTGAACTGAGCTGTAGAAGGTACTAGGAAATTATTTCCCTATCAAAGAGCTCAAAAAAACTTTATAAAAGAAATAAAATCAGTTTTCATACACTATCCAGGAGTGGTGCAGGGTGAAATAACCCAGATGAACTGAAAACATGATTGATACAGAACCACAGAAGTGGCACAGCACAAACATATTTAATTAAACACATTGTTCCTGGGAGCAGGGTAGCTTTAAACAATAACCAAGCAAAGTCTGAGCAGTGTATATTCTGTGCCATATGTTCTGTGGCACTTGGCTTAGCCAAAACAAAGGTGACACGTGGTTAATCCACAACCTGGAGAAACCAGTGCACTCGTAATTGAAAGTTGACCCTAATTCAGACTCAGTAATTCTGTCTCCTTTTTTGTTCTTAATTTCTCTTCTTTTTTTTTCTTTTTTTTCCCTTCCTCTTTTTTCCCCCTCTTGTCTTTTCTTCTCTCTTCTTCTTTTCTTTCTTTTCTCTTTGCCTTTCTTTTCTGCAGTAACAGATATTTTTGTCTGTAAAATGTCGTTTTTATCACCAGTGAATTATACAGAAATTTTCCTTAGGACTGTATTAAATAAAAGTTCTAGGAATGGCATATTTTTTGTGTGAGCTTCAAGTTTTCAGCCTGAAAAATGATTCTAAAGAACTATTTCTTTCTGCCTGTAGAGATATTTATGTTACACATTCTGTCCCTTTCTACAAATACGTCAGTATTGAGTGCTAGCAGTTTATGTCTTAAGACTATAGTTTTCTGACTATTTCTTTCAAATATTGAGAAAAATAAAGAATAACAACAATGCAGCGTATAAAAATAGAGTTGCTCAGGAATGTATTATTCATAATGAACATGAGAACCTGTTTTTCCAGAAGAATTGGTCTGATTCATTCACTATTAAGGCAGCTAGTTATTTATTTTTGTCTTTAGAATTATTTAGGGGATTTTTCTTTATAATAAATGGACTTGTATACCCATATATGGTAAACCAGTGAGAAGTCACCAAATGAGGAATTATTTCATTTTACAAAATTTTTAGCAACTAAGCAATGTAAACACTGTTGGTTAAATATGGCAAAGTCGCATATTTGTATTCCTTGGGCTATAGTTCGAAAAAAATTCAAATTATTTTATATAACACTGCTTCTTACAGACTTCCTTTAAGTGAAGTATGAAAGCTGCAGTGTAAGCTTTATTGGCCTATAAATATGTCATTATAGTTGGACTACATTTATATGCTTTGGATTGTTGTTTAAGCCAAGAAAATATGTCTCTACAGGTTGACTTTTTATTGAAACCCTTTGAGGCATACAACAGAATGTATTTTAGGCCAAGGTTATTAAAACAGCATTTTCATTTTTGCAGCAGACTCATTGTCAATTATGCTGCCACAAACTGTCTGTGGATAGGCAGTTATGAATGGTTTCATCTCTAAATGTGTCTTTAGAAAAAGAAATAAAAGATAGAGGAGTCAGAGCTGAAATTGAGAGAAGAGGCTGAGGGGAAAATGACTGAATTTAGTGTTCCCTGGCTCTGTTGGTTTGAGTTAGGCTGGGCTGCTCTGCGATGCTGCCTGGGTTTAGCTGAGCAACAAATGGCCTCTGTGCCTGCACTCGGCGGGGGAGGTGGGAACTCCTGCTGCCCTGGGCTGGGCAATCTGCAGCCCTCTAACACATGTGTCTGTCATGACAGAGGTCTAGTTTTGGTCCCCAAACTGTCATTGCCACTCTTTCTGCCCATCCTCTATAAGTCTTTATCATGCCAAAATGGATGGTTGAGGTTGTTGCGCAGTGGATACTCCAATTCCTGCAGTGGCAGCATTAGTAATGGGGATGAGCAAGTTCTGGTGCTTACTGAAGAGGGTCTTGCTGCAGTTATTGCTTGTTTGTTTGGGTCCATTGAGGGGAAAGCCAAAGAAAATTTAGTAGTCAGCCCTGTCCTGTCTTCCATTCTCCACCCCTCCACCCCCCACATTTAGGGGTCTGGAATCTGGATTGCTGTTATCTGGAATCCAAGAAAATCAAGTACGCTTCCAGCTGAGGTTTATATTTTAGCAGTCTCCCTTTTCTAGTCTATAGGTGGTGTTCCATCAGTTGTTTCCGACTTCGCTCTCTTGAACCTTCCAGCAGAGCTTGCT